GCCTTTCCTTTTGTTTCTCCTGTCCTACTTCTAGCTACCCGGGCGGTATAAGACCAAAGTCCCGCTCGCTAACTACTTTCGTTTAACTAAGTGGGCCTCGTAACTACACCTATCTTTCATTCTTGCCCTCTTAGTCTGCTTTTGTTTTGTTTGCTTTGTCTGTCTTTCTAAGGCTTTTTAGGTGGCTAGTAATCTTTCCACAGCGCCAATATTGGCGCTAAGTGTGCAAAGAGCGCACCGATTATTTGTGTATGTTTCCATACATGTGCTTAAGGCTTTGCGACGCAATCAACGCTACTAGGGGCTTCTGGTTTCGCTACTAGGAGCCAGGACGGTACTACCAGGGGCCTCTGGCCGTTCTCTGGCCGTTCTACGGGGAGCAAGGACGCTACTAGGGGCCTCTGGCCTCGCTCAAGCAGGGGAGAGCGCGGCGCGTACGGCTTCGTGTGTGTGTGTGTGTCCACACCTGTGCCTAAGGTTTTGAGTCACAAAGGACGCTACTAGGGGCCCTTGGTTTCGCTACTAAGGGCTCCTGGTATCGCTATTAGCGTGCAGTTTTTTCAAATCAAAAAACAGCGCGAAAAAGAGGCAGGGGGCAGTGACAGAGTTTGTGGAATCACTGCCAACGAAGACGTCCACATTCTCTGGTGATGCGTCGGGAGACGTCCTGGTGTGTAGTAAGTGGCTAGCGCACTGAAACAACTTGTTAAACATCTTCAATTTTCCGGACTTCCTCGCCTTTCGGTTCGTGCATCATTCAGTTTCTTCAAGTCAAGGGGGACTTCATACTGATCCTAGCTCTTGCGAGCAACAATCTAAGTGTGTGTGTAAACCGCTCTAGCATGCGGGTGATGTCCGAAATTCAGTTGCTGTACTTATGCAGTTGAGACAAGTTTGAGAGCAGGGGAACTGTGCACTCTGTGACAGACCCAGTTCAACGAAGCTAGGTCACAGAGTGGGATATTCGGACTGATCATCCGAACGTACCTGCGTAACGTTTCGGTTTTCACCTGAATGGCAACTGGGCTGAGCCAAGAACCCAGCATGTGATCACTTCTGATTTCGGGCTCTAGTGATGAGATCGATGGCTTCGCCTCATGTGCTATGTCTCGAATTCTCAAGGACACACACACTTAGGAGGTTCTGGGCTTTGTCATCATCCTAACGGTCCTAACGCTCCAACTCCAAGACTCATTCCCCAGTGTGTAAAGGGTGCATGCCAGAATTGGCGACACCGTCGAGACCCTACTCCTCTGATGTCTTCATCCTCTTATCCTCTGCGCGTGTGCACTTACACCTTAGTCTGGGCCCTAGTTCTAGATTTTTGCTCCCCCTCTACGAAGGCATGTGTTTGAAACCCATTGAATCAAAGGGAACCTTTGTTTTCAAACTAAGTAGGGGGGAAACCCCATGGATGCAGTTGTTTGTCCAACGAAGAGGGCTTCATTCCATGGCTGATATGATCCTGGGGCGCCGGGATCACGTACCTGCCTTTGTGATGAGTCCACTTCATACTGGCCCTTGCGTGCAACTAGTAAAGCGCTGATGAACGTGACCGACCTGCTGCTGAACCCCTTGTCACACTTGAAGGACTTTGAGACCTTGAGCAGTTTACCCCTTCAACGAGACCTCTAAGATGCCCAGACCCCCTACATGCTTCCCCCAAAAATATGGTTACCTAGGTCGCGATGTGGCGAGTGCTTCAATTCCGTGTGAATTTTCCGGACTGTGTGTGAATTGCCAAATATATGCAATGCTTTTCATGCTGCTGCCTTTAAAGACAGGACATGCCCATTCACGTTGAGCACACTGAACGCGATTTGATTTGCTGGTTGCTGCCCTGCCACGGCCCATGTTTACATTAGAGTCATTAGAGTGTCAATTGCGCCTGTGAAACTTTCTTGAAACAGTGTGGCAGGCACTCAGGTGTTCTTGCTCCTTATTTCCTTTTTGAGGACTGTCCTTGGTTTTGTGGAGCCTTACTTTTGGTGCCTCCTCAAAGCAGGCTGAGAGCATCGCATCCACGCGGAGGCAGTTTTCTGGAACCCATGAATGCTGGGCCAATGATGTCAACAATACTGCTGCAGTAGCGTCGCATGCAAGTTTGTTTGTTCGCACCACCTGGATCTTTTGAAAGAATGGGATTGAACGTGGCTTTGTTTAGAAAGACTCTTTGGGATTCTTCAGGTCTAGGGAGTCCAGGCACTCTAGGGACATCCAAGGAAACTGCAAAAATTGTGAGGCCATCTTTGTCACCGAATGTGCGAGCTCCGCGCATTTCCTCCAATAGCGTGGAGCCAATCTGTGACCAGGACACGGGTTGCCAGGTCATTGGTTGCTGCTCGGAGGATGTCAAGCTGCCTTTCTACTCTAACCCTCTCCCCCAAAGGTTTCGAGAGATAGGGGATCTTGCCCTTGCCTTTGTTGTCCAGATTTCAGGGTGGCAGGCATCCATCCATCCATACATATATATTTTTGTATATATCCTCTTCGGTTTTGGTGCGTTTCCTCCCAAAAGAACGGTACGAAGGGTTGTATTTTGTATGCTCTTGGGTTGCAAGAAGGTGGTTTCCGAGACGGATGTTACCTGGATCTAGATTGCGCTCTCTTGGTGTCAGGATAAAAAATGGAAAGGAGCATCGCAAGAGACATGGAACCATCCTTGGAGAATGACGGGGTCGTTTGAGTGGTGCTAGTTGAGTTGAAACTGTTGCCTGAAGCAGTGGTACTGTGATACTTGAATCATTTGACCACGCTTTCCTGCGCATTGTTTTGAATGCTTGCACAAAGATGTTCTAATCCCATTTTTGCTCCTGCATGCATACATATCATATACCACTTTTGCCGTCTAAGGATGGTGCCTTCCATTTACCAGGTGCCGCGGAAGGCCTCGTTGGGACTGCAGTCAGGTTTGTCTTCACAGGCATTGAACATTACAGGTACCTCGAGCCTCCGAATCTTTGTTGTGCTTTCACTCACAGTTGCGTTTTGCTGACTCCAGTTGCGAGGTTGTGGTGAAGTGCTTGGAGGAGATGGACTCAGCTGAACAACCTGACAAGCCTGGGATGCTATTAAAGGCGACAATTCAGGTGCGCCATTCAGCTATGACAGCTATAAAGATTCTTGCTGTGGCCAGAACGGTGATAGGTAAGGCATGTAGGGAGCCGCCGGAATTGCTTGCCTGCCTTCAACACATGCACTCAAGAATCTGTGGACCGCTCGCCCAGAGAGTTTCAAGAGCCCCGATCCATATCAAAGCCAGCGAAACAGAGATGGACTCAACATATTCATTGCATTGGTTTGTTCGGCGGACTTGAGGACTCTCTTTTTGATTTAGGGTTTAACCATAGACAGTCTACCTGATTTGTGGGTGTTCAAACTGCGAAGCACTTCAAAGTTCAGCATCAATGGCATCGCCACGCCAGAACACAGTGAAGCGCTTCAACCGGATGTTCAACAGACACGTGAACCGCGAAGAGCAGGTGCCCAGATTCGAAGAGCAAGTGCGGTGCGGACGACATGTTTTCACAATGGTTATGTTCTTCGAGCCTTTTTGCTGCACAAAGGTTGTCGAAGCGAAGGAACATGTTTAACATAGCGCGCATTTGCAACGTGGGTGTTTGCTCAGCAGATGGGAGGCATTGGCACAGTTTGCGTTTGTTCTCGAGCATAGGCACATAAGTTTTGCAGATGATGCTTGGTTTGTCATGACCCGTTTCTCCAAGGTGGAGGCAGTGATGCACCATCTGGAGCGGCACACGCGGCGGCGTCGAGGGGAGCCGGAGGTCTCAGCAAACAAGATTTGTGTTTTCTTTTAATCTTCACACCTTTCTTTCTTGCTTTCTTTCTTTACATGTGATAGCATGTGAAGAGCTCCCCCAGATGCCGGTCATTTGAATTCTGAGGAAGAAGTGGATCTGAGGTCGGCGTTGAAATCCGGCTTGTTGGAGTGGGAGCAAACTTCAAGAGCTTGGAACCCTAGGTGCATGGAAGGCTTGGGCTGCGACCTGATGAAGCTAGGAGCTTTGTAGAGCCTTGTGGATTCCAATTCTTGTCCTTGTCACCGAGCAAAAACAGATTCATCTCAAGAACATTTTTGAATACCCTGTATTGCGTTTTCTGATTCGCCACCAAGGGATATTGTGTAGGTGTTCCTGGTTTGTTTGGTTCTTTGCAAAACTGTTGCGTATCCACGATGATGATTTCACGCGCTGAGATATATGAGCTCTTCGCTGTGCACCTGAACATGTGTGAGCGTCTTCGGCCCCAGAGCTGGCAGGAGTGCCCCTAGTAGCGTCCTTGCTCCTAGTAGCGATGCCAGGAGCCCCTAGTAGCTTCTTGTTACTAGTAGTAAGGCCAGGAGCCCCTAGTAGCGTCCTTCAGTGCGCCGAAACAGTTGTGCAAGTTGTGTACTCATTTCTACTTGGTATTCGTTTTGGCAGATGCATATTGCTTGAACAGAACCTGGGCTTGCTCAGGCATTATCTTCACCATCGATTTCGCAGTGAGAACGTGAGCTGGCTGGAATTATATAGTCCTACTTCTATATAGGTTTTAGGCAAATCCTACAGCGCTACAGCAGCTGTTTTCTTTGGCTTGTGAGGGTGGATGCACAGACAACCGCACAAATGCTTTATATAGAGGGAACTTGTGAAGGCCATCTCGAGAAAAGAAAGGAGGTTTGCCTACTAGTAACAAGGGCATTACTACTAGTAGCAAGAGCTACTCTGGCAGAGAGCCATCCATCCTTGAAGTGCAAAGAGGTCTTGCCCCCCGCCTCAGGACCATTTTGTCCCGAGTCTGTTCCACCGCTGCTTGGCTTTAGAGTACACTTGCTTTAGGGCGTCGCAATAAAGCAGAAGTTTGATGCGAGCTTGAGTGTCAAGTCTGGCGAGACTGGCTGAGGTGCTCATTTCTTGCATTTTTCTGTCCATAATTGTTTGGATGGTCCGGATCTAAGTCTTCGACTCCCAAGCTTGCACATGCAGAGCACTAGCTTGCCATGGCGCTTGTGACAATCACAATGCCTCTGCATGTTCACACAGGATCGGATTTGAGTTTCACCTTCACAAGACTTACAAAAGACCAGAGTCGAGAGGCTCTGAGCAAGCCTTGATTTATGTGGACACGCGTGATTGGTGATGCGGTGATCGACCAGCGTTGATTGTTGATCGCTGCCTGGTGCCGATCAAGTCCGTCACGACCATGGCCCTAAGCACTGAGGTCTCCACTCTGCCCGATATGCGATACATTGAGAGCGGTCTGCCACCTCAGCAACAGTCAAAGATGCGTCTTTGGTGGTCATTTGCACACGACGTGTAATTTCAGTTTTCCATTTATTCACAATCAAAGATTCAAAATTTGAAGGCAGACACCTCAAGTAACACGAAATAACATGCGCACAACTGGAAGGATTCAGAGCCGAAGGCAGGACATCATAGCCTGACCCCTCAGAAAGGATGTCTTCCAGGTCCAGATTGCAATGCACTCCTCAAAGCCCAGTGCACGTGCATGCGCAGGTTGTGTTTCAGTGGAGGTGGGGCAATGCCAACCAAGGCCGTGGCTCGGACCTATTCTTGATTTTGGGTGCTCGCGTTTGGAATTCTGCGCAATGCCACCAGCATTGGATTGAGCCGACAAACTCCTCTCAACCAACATAGGAACACTAAGGGAGTCTATTTAATGTTCTTGTGCTTGATGGGTGCGTTGGGATAGTTGGCACATGATACTGACTAGTTACTAGTTATTAGTTCTGTGGGTAGGATGTTCTTTTTTCTTTGCACCCAAAAAGTTTGATGATTGTTTCTAGGTGTCGGTGTCACCGCTTCCTTTGATTTGCCCCGCATCAACCCTCTCAAGCACCTGACCTGTGTCTTGTTGTAGCAGGACAACTCTCAGCTTTTGATTGGTCTCATGTTACTAATAGCAAATCTTGTTCCTAGTAGTACGGCCAGGAGCCCCTAGTAGTGTCCTTGCTCCTAATAGTAAGGCCAGGAGCCCCTAGTAGCGTCCTTGCTCCTCGTAGCGATGGCCTTTGCTCTTAGTAGCAAAGAAATGGAGCCGGCTCCCAGGTACCATGTGTTTCAGGTCATTGAAGCGCGTGGAAGCCCAGGGCTTCCTTAGGCGTGACATGGGAATGCCAGATGGGATTTCAAGTTTTGCGTGCATGGTAGCCGCTAACCAGTAGCCAGCATCCTTTCTCTGATTTAATTCTCAACGAAGACCTTAAAGATGAGCCATGGTTGGCTCAAGCTGCTGAGTAGGATGGCAGAATACCCTATTATCATATATCATATCATATATCAATTACTTGAGTCAAACAAATGGCGAGCTTTAGAAAGAAGGCCGTAGCGGGATGGTACTGCGCAGATTGGAGTGGTGATGGAGACTGTTGGCCGTCCAGAACGGTTAATTAACTTTTTTGTTGCGCATTTTTCAGTGACATTTGCATTTCTTTTTCGGGCGCTTTGCATTGAGGACCTGCGTGTACCTCTTCACTGTTGAGTACCTGGTCCGCTTGGCTATGGTGCGGTGACCTGGTGCCACCGCCCGTTGATTTGTGATATTCGTTTCCAGCAACAATATATGCAGTATGCAGCATATATATATATATTTATGTTTAGTCATGTCACGTTCATGTCCCACTTCCTCTTTGATTTAGAATTAGCAAAGGAGTTGCACTGTTGAGATACCAGTACAAGAGTTTTGGTTTCCAAACTATGCCTAGACATAAGCATGCCTTGCACGAAGCTGATGTTCGTGGAGGTTTGTTGGAATGGTTTTACACTTGCTCCTTGAGGTTCATCAAGTACGATTTGAGTTATTGGACGAATACTTTGTCGCAGCGACTTGGCCCATCACTGCATACGCTGCTTCTTCGACCTGGGCCATAAGCACTTTTTGCAAAACATGGTCGTGAGACAGCCTTGAGACCTTCAGGTTGACTGTTTGTTCCTTCAATTATCATGGACACCACGTTGCACCAAGTCATATTCCCCAAGTCATGCTCATCATTCTTTCTTTGAGGAGTGGGGGCTGACCCATATAAATTATTAAGTGTAGGTGCTGTAGGTGCTTCAAGTTTTCGACTTGGGATTTATGCTCTCAGCAGTTTTGCAATGTTTGCCTGATATGACCAAAGCTCAGGGTGTGCTTAAGGGCGACATGGTTGCTCCGTCAGGCAGGGCTGGTGAAATGCTTGCCATTTCGCTGGTAAATCCAAATTAAGCAGCTTGTATACACTTTTGGAATGCACATCATCTTTTTCGAGCGCAGACTCCGGGCTCTTTGCTCCTGAAGGTTCTTTGTGGAACTGCTTCAGCTCCTCTGTGAAGCCCAAAGACGCGCCACTTGGCAAAGCACTGTTATGGCTTTTGCCCTCTCAACATGTTGAGTTTAACTCTAGGAAAGCCAGTTCCGCCAAATCTGCAGACTTGCAGCTTAGTTCCCACAGCAGTATTTTTGCTCTTTGAGCGCGTCTGAGTGAGGTTGGATGGTTCGTTCACCACCACGATTAAGCACATCTTTGGCATGGGAACTCAGCAAGGGCGCAAAGGTACTTGAATCACCTTAACGTTGCAAGATTTGTTGGTCTCTTTGAAGCACCTGGTCGGTTGTAGATGACACCGGCCTCAGTTCAGTGGAAGCGAGACAGAAGCTTTGCCTGAGGATTGACAAACCTCATTGATTTGTCCGCAATTTTGCCCTTTTGGATTGAGACTTTCAATCCACAGGAGACTGAAGCACTGGAGGAATCGCTTAGCAGCACTAACCAATATACTATATAATGTACCATTCTCATCCATTCTTGGACACTGTAAAGTCGGCCTGGTATACTTTGATGACGGCACTGACAGATGCCCTGATGCAGCAGTATGGGCATGATTCTGGTCAGAGAAAGACGCATGCATGACAAGGTAAGGGCTTCCAACATTTTGCTTTTTCTAGAGAAAGCGTAAGGCTGGAGAGAAGCAGCTAACCAGAGAGTTTTCCAAGTTTCAGCCAGATGACACAAGACAGGACAATACGCAGGGTGGTGCTCTTGTTGCTTTGAGACTGTTGAGGACTGCTTGGGGATGTCTCCAAAAGACTTGCAATTTTTGGAGTTCAACTGAGTTCAACCCACTGCAGCTCTGGTTCGACTGCAAAGGTGACTGCTGTAACGAGAAAGAGCAGCTTTCGCCAGATCAAAGCGAGAATCGAAAGTAGCTTGCGCATGTTAGGTGACTCCAGCACCTGCAACAAGTCCAAGAGATTTCTCAAAGATTGACTGATTTGGCTTTGCATTGATTCCCTGCAGCCTGTTTGAGAAGGGCCACAATCACTTTGTGAAGCTGAGTTACTCCCGGCTTGAGGATCACAAGGATCTTTCGCGTCTTCAAGTTAGGGAGGTGTCTCCGCGTTGGGCACTGGGACAGGTCATGGTGGTTACAGGTCAATTCCGGAATTACTAGCGACAAGAAGCTAGTAGGTTGGAGGCCATCGCTACTAGGGTGGAGGCCATCGCTATTAGGTTGGAGGCCATCGCTTCTAGTAGCAAGTCACCATTAGTTTCCCAGAAAGAATGCACGACATCTTCAGCGAACTCGGATGTTTGAGACCCTGCAACCTTGTCGAAGTCAAAGTCGAACACATGAAACAGAAAGACGATCATCATGGGCATGGGATTCAGCAAGAAGTGGCTGGTTCAATCATTAATCAATGATAGAAGAACCTCCCACCCTTCTGCGTCCCTGTCGCCTAAAAGATTGGTAGCTTCTTGGTCGCTACAGAGTAGCTTCTACCCGATTCTACCCTCTCATCCTCCTTGGTGCAGGTATAGTGAGGCCTTCATGCTCTTTACCCGTGTGATGGAACAGCTGAACGCCCAAGGAAGATAGCATTGTTGGTGAAATGATTCACGTGACAAAGATAGCATTTCGTTGCCGTTGTTTTTGCTTTTTACCATCCAGATTTCCAGAAAGACAGATCCATTCTTTTCCTACATGGCCTGACCGCAATGGCAAACACTTAAAGCATCCAACATAGCAATTGTTTGCAGAGAACTCCTGTTGGAGAACTCCGACTCCAACGACCTGAAGATCTCATATTCAGATTTCAGATGCGATCAAACAGGATCCAAGATATGCGTCGACAAATCCCACCAAGCCCGTAATGAAGCTCAGCATAGGTCAGTGCCTGCGCTGATGTTGATGACTTTTTTCATCATGCTGGGCTGTGGCTTGCAAGGGAACTCAAAGATCTCAGAGCCAAGCATGATTTCTAAGCATCATGGCAGAATACAGAGGCAATGAAAGAGATTCCACACAGCAGTTTAACGCCCGAAAGAAAGCTATTCGGGCTCTTTGGCCAGTTTGGTGCCACCTTCAGCTTGCTTCAGAAACACGAACTCCTAGTCTCTCTGGCCTCACTTGCTGCAGCTGCGCACAATTCTGCACTTCGCTTCCAAGGTTTGGAACGATGATTTGGTTCGCCGAAGGCGGTGAATGGTGCGCCAGACACCAATCTAGATGCTTGCCAGACTGAGTGACGTGGCCACCTGATTTGGTTTTGATTTGTGTGAACCAAAAAGCGTCCTCCCGAACTCGTTTAAGCCCTCTCCAGCAGCTGGCTCCTATTTCCAGTCCTGGCTCAAACTGGAGAACTCCCCGGCTCCTTTGGTGAGTGTCACACAAAAGCTCCCAGGTTGACAGGTCCAGGTGGCCCAAGCCCAAGGTATTCATAGATGGGCCTTCCTTGCCTCCCAAACCAAATTGACCCTGATCATGTGTTCCAAAATGCAGACGAAGCTCGATGTGTTCCAAAATGAGGCACCTGCCCAATCCATCTCTCTTCCCCCTTAAAACATGCCAACGATTTAGGCGACCTTGACCCTGACCGTGCGCATTCTAGATTGATCCTGTAGAACAAGTTGGATTGGTATCAAGGGGCCTAGACACGCATCAGCATCAAGAATCAAGAAAAGAGTCCTTGCTACTAGCAGTGTCCTTGTTGCTAGTAGCAAGGCCAGGAGCTACTAGTAGTGTCCTTGCTCCTAGTAACGATGCCCTTTGTTACTAGTAGCTTCTTGCTCCTAGTAGCTAAGTACTCTTGTTTTGGACGTTTTTGCTTGCTGTATCTTCTTTTCGAAGCTCGCGTATACGCCAGGTACCCTGAGGGCCACGAAGTGCTGGAGGGGTTGAACATCACTGGGCGGGGAGCGTGCGCCGGAAACTCCTGACACTCACTTACTGCGTCAATGCCTGCCAACCCTTGCTGATACGGATGCGATCTCTGAATGGACACACACACACAGGACAGTTGACAATAGATAGATTCAATAGAGCTTCCTTGAAGGTGACCTTTCCAAGCGCAGTTCCCTGGAATTATTTGACCATTTTCGAATCATGTCATGTGTGGAAAGTATAAAGAATGTTGCGCAGCTTGCCATGTCGCCCAAGGTACCTTCGTTTGAAGTATTTGCCTTGGACCTCCCCTGGCCATCGAGAGCCCGCTTTTGAGGCGAGGTTCGCAGTCTTGCTCAGCCTTGCTCTTTACCTGGAACCAGCGAGGTGATGTATTTGCAAGCAATAAGCTATTCATATAGTGTGGAATCAGTGTGCGATGGTAGAGGTGAATCAAACTTTATCATAGTTCTGGTTTGATTTCGTTTGCGCTGTCATTGGTGGTGCAATGGCAAGCCAGGAAACACCGTTTGAGAGCATCATCCACGGGTTTTGGTCGGGCAGCCAGCTCCTTCGCCTTTAGTCGACATATTTTTGGTTGCATGGAATGAAGCAATCCATTACGCACATTTGAGCTGATCCCCAGTGTGATTTCAGTTTGGACAGTTGGGTAGAATCCTGCAAGATACACACACAAGCACATGAAATCTTGCCGGGGTTGTATTTCAACCTACTGAGCGGCAGGTTTGTGATTGTAACGATCACCACAGTGGGCTATGGAGACATGATTCCAAAGACTCCGGTGTGGACACCCAGTCAGCGCTCGAAGATGCTACTCGATATCAGGAAGGTTATGCTTGTGGCTCATCCTTGATGACCATTTTGATGTAAGCCATGGCCATGGCATTCAGATTTGCGAAGACTTCACAACAAAAAAGCCATGTTAATGTTGTCATGCAAATGAAGTCAGAATGGCGGTGTTTGCCAGGCTGGCAAAGCGGTGGGCACCATGATGATCCTCGCAGGAGTGATTGCAGGGCCCCCAGCGAACCAGCAGCACCTTTCAAGAGCAACCACTTCGCGAACCATCCGTGAATTCGTGAAGTTTTGTTAAATGCCTTACTAGTAGTAACAAGAAGCTATTAGAAACAAGTGCCCTTACTAGTAGTAACAGGTGCCTTACTAGTAGTAACAAGAAGCTAT